AGAAAATTTCTTGCTATATGGTAGTTGATTAGTATTTCAAACTGAATAATTCATATTAATTTTTATAATGGGAAGCCATAAGATGAAAGGCACCGCATTGGGTTTATATCTGGTAGACGACCATATCTGGTGCAATATACATACTTTCCAGGATGTGACATCACTATGATTTTTAAAAGCATGCACCAACAGTGCAATATATACATTTCACTGAAAGTAATGCATGGTTTGTTCAGTTGTGATAGCAATTATAACAAAAGGTCATTTGTAAAATAGCAAAATATTTCATTTATAAAAGATTTTGTAAATAAATTGATATAATAGTAGTCTTTATTTTTGCATGGATTGATTTAAGTAGGCTCATTATATTCCAGAATAATTTCAGTCATCGTGATGGCCTTTTATCAAGAAGTGTACCCGGGCTCCCACCAGTCAATTCGAGATAAATTTAGTACCTCTAGGAGGATCTAAAGAGTATTTTTTACTGCTGGTAACATTTATACCACCACACTGCTATTCAGCAAATACAGGCTTCATATCTCTATTAGTGTTGGATTCAAAACCTGTACAAATTTCTTCCATTTCATTAGCACTAATGCAGGCTAACCTTTCTTGAGCACTTTAGACACTTTCACAATGCTACTATGTGCTACTGAGCATACAAATAACCTTTCCTTCCTATGGCTTACCATTATACAAGCCATATAGAACATGACCTTTTCCTTGTGGGTGTATCAGGTATACAATTAAATAATATTCAAAATCCCTCAAGCTACACCCTTGGGATTATGAATATCATTTTCATGTATATCTGATATGCCATTTGGGGTCTTGTTCTATATATTATGTATATAAAACAGATTATTAATAATTAAGTATATTTTTAGTATGTCTCTGTTTGTCATGTGTTTGTGTGATGGTGACGTCTGTATGTGTACTAATACTAATACATACACTATGATGTGCCTGTGTATGATAGTGCATATAATGTATGTGAGAATTTATGAATGTATGACGTGTGCCCGGTATGTGACGTGTATACAAAACTGATGAAAAATTGTATGTGGGTAATTTGTGACTCGTGTGATACAGAACTTTATTAAAAATTCATGAAATGAATCTACACACACACACACACACACACTCATCTCACATTAATTATAGATAATAATTATTCATTAACAATCATACCTGACATGTACCAGAATAGATTAGTAATCTTCAAATAAGGACATCCCCTGCACCTCTCCTTCATGTGTACAGGTGTGGTGTGTGTATGGTGCTTGTATCTATACATGAATATATCTGTGTGTGTGTGTGTGTGTCACGTGATAGTGATGTGTGTCTAACTGTCTATGCATGATGTGTATGTATAAATAATAATGTACGTACATATATGCATGCATATGTATAATGAATGTGTATAATGTATGTGTGTATGTGGTAAGTAAGTGTACATTAATGTTTGTACATTATTATTAGATCAATGGATATCTCCTGTTGTTACTGGGGACAGACCACCTCCTATTAGTAACTTCACTCTAACACCAGTTACTAATAGCACTGCAGTAATGTTCGGAGGCCTTACTGATAATGGAGTCAGTAATAAATTGTATATGATAAGTTTCACTAAAACATCAGTGGTGAGTTAATACTGTAGAATTGGATTTGATTGTGAGATTCTTTTGATTCATTGAAAGAACTACATTGTGCCAAAACTTAATTGACATGGCTTGGGATGTTTATGCAAGTTGCTGTCAATTAAATTTATTTTCTCACTATCACAATTTTTGATGCACAATCTAAAAACCCATTCTACAGTAATAAACTATTAATAATAATGATTATTTTATTAAATTGATTATTTTCTCAGGATATATTAGAAGTACCTAATCCTGGAGGATTAGTACGATGGCCTAAGGGAAGATATGCTCATTCCAGTGTACTGATTACCACTAGTTTAGGACCACACTTACTAGTGGTGGGTGGATCAATTACCTACGATGTATGGTTAATGGACATCAACAAAAGAAAATGGAAAAAACTGGTTAGTATTATAATTTTATGATGCTTGATAATGAAACGTAAGTATATGTTATAACACCCCTGTGAGGAATTTATCACATTTATCAGCACCGAGCCTGAGGGCAAGGTTCTGATAAATGTGATATATCCCGAGCAGGGGTGTTATAATTAATTTATGTCCTTGCCTAAGCCAAACTTCACATACTGCGAATGCCCAGGTGCCCAGTGCTACTTACCATGACCCCATGCATGAGATACAAAGGAGGCAAAGAGATGGCTGCTCTGAAAAAGATAAAACAGAACATTATAGTACTTTCCACAGTAATGACAGCTCAAAAAGACCCCTAGGAGTATCAACATTAACTTAGATTGCCATAGAGAATGCAAGATGATGATGCACTGATAATTCCAACTATGATCCAACTGGCACCTTTTTGTAGAGCCTTCATTATGTTTGTCAATTATTTGTGGCCCATGACTGGCTGGTCCAGACCATCTGCTGCTTCTGCCGAATTCTCTGGCATCTTATAGATGCTCAATGATTCCAACTCTGTGTCAGTAGTTCAAGCAAAACAGCTGGCAATATCATGTCTCCATTAACCTTACAGTCCTTCTTCTGTTAAGTGACAAGTTAATTTTTATTGTTCTTTTTTTAAATCACTATATTTTTATATTTTAAAGTCAATTTCTTTCTTCTATTGCACTATGTAAACTGTTAACCACAAGCAGTGCTTATGCATGTATCAAACACCAAAGGGATAATATAAGTGATTTATCAGCACTGCAGCATCTTTGAAATTTGGCTTAGGTAGGATATAAAGGGATTTACTAAATTTGTAACTCATGAGGTTTGTAATGTACATGTACATATTATGATATTCAGTGATTATAACTAATGAAAATGAATAATCCTGGTATTCAGTATGTGTGTGTGTGTCTGTTCTTAGTGTGAATGTGTGTTTTTTGTATTTTGTGTTTGTTTCTCTACCTAAATATACGTGAATATACATGTGTATGTGTAAAGATGGATTCACAATTGATACAGTATCAATGCTGGAATAAAGTTAATTCTATTTTATATGCATTTTGTACATTGTGTATGTACATACATGTATTTTTGTGTATGTGTGCATATGTTTTAATATGTGTATGTGTGTACTAACACATACATACATCATGTGTACATGTAACCAGGAGCCCATGAAAGAAGAAGTGCAGGGTAGGAGTGCAAAACTCCCACGCATTTAATTGGAAAACATCAAAATCCTTGTTCCTGCATACATGTATCTTGATGAGTTTACTACTTGCCCAAGGTAACCACACCAGTTTAGTAAAAATGGCAACCAGTGTGAAGGTTGCTCTGAAAAAAGAAACAACAACAGCTAGATTATTGTACCAACAACAGATTTATTGACAGAGCTTCAAAAGATAAGTATTCTGTATCAAAATTTTAGCTCCTTACAATAGAATCAAGTGCAGCAAGTCTTAGTTACATGCATAGGAAAGTCTTGAAGAAAATTAAGAGCCTACAGTGAGTCAGCAGGCTTATTGCATCAATGGAAATACCTTCCTTACACAGTATAAAGAGCCTGCTCACTCATTGTAGCTCTTATTTCTCCTCAAAATTTTCCAACACACAACTAACCAAGGTTTGCTGTACTTGATTGGGAGAAGATTCTACTGTACTCGATTGGGAGAAGATTCTACTGTAAAGAGCTAAAATTTTTCACTCCTACCCTCCCCCACTCCTGATGTACATTGTAACATGTACAAGTATGTGTATATGTGTGAACAATTATGCAATTGAAATACAGCGTGAAAGTATTTTAAAATACAGCAAAATACTTTTAAATGCTTTGATGGGAATTGAAGATGCCGTTTTGAGTGACAAAACTTTTGAAACACTAATGTTCATTAAATGCAATACATGTAACTAAATATTATTGGTTATACATGCATATTATGAATTACATGTAAATAGACTTTCAATTTACTTGATTGATAATTTAACTGTCACACTTGAGAAGGAAGTATTTGTAATTGTAATTGAAATACATGTATGTAGTATTTGTAACTGTATTTAAAAACAAAGCTGCAAACAATATTTGCATTTGTATTTATATTTGTTGTTTTTGTACAGTATTTGTATTTGTATTTCAATACTTTCATGTTGTATTTGACCCAAGTCTGTTTTAGTATGTGTATGTGTGTACTAAGTTCTTAATTGAGAATTCACATGATATAATAACACACTCAGTTGGATATACTTATCTATTAATAATATGTCATCTTTGTGTTACATAAAACACACTGTGCAGAAAACTGTTAGTTATAGTTGTTGTATTTATTAACCAGATATCACATTACCGTAATTTGCCTTTTTTGTACAAAAATTTTTCGTTTCAACAAAATTCAAGTGGGAAATTTTTTTTACAATATGAAAATGTAGCTTCTGTTGCATATACTTTGTCTTTACCTACTGGTAACAACGCTGCTATAGTAGTATTTACAGTGCTTGAGATGTGAGTTTCTTGACCTGGCTGTTTCCCTGACATTACTAACCCTCACATCATGATCTGTTTCTTCTCTCTTTCTCTTTTCACTTTGTTTCTTTTTTACCATTTTATCATGTCTACTGTTATTATTTTATTATTATTATAATACATGTACTATTATTTCAGGGTACCAGTAGTCCTTGCTGGTAACCCTTCAAGACACTCATCAAACATCAATCTGTACTTTCTATATATTTCTCTGTATGCCACATCTTTTGAGTCTTGTAAAATTTGATAAATTTGAAAATTTTGAAATTTGAAATACTGGAGATGCTAGCAATGACCAATACAGATAATAAATGGAAACACTAAAAGGGTTACTTTTGTCACGTGGTGGACCATTTTGTTTATAACTCAGTAATGAAGCGACAGATTGAAGTACTGCAAGCAACAATGGATAGAGCAAGGCGGTTAGAGCTGCAAGATAATACCTACTTATCAGGCCGTACCTTAGTTTTTCTTTGATGAATTAATTAGGTCACAAATTTTGGTTGCTCAAAAATTTTTCAATTAAAATATTTTCATCATTTTAAGGCCATACAAAAATATTTCCACATCAAAAAAGGCAAATTACGGTAATTAATATGTCATGCACCTCGTCATGCACAAATTAATTATTATCATTTTAATTTTATAGATTAATCTACCAGTCAATGTCACTAAGAGATACTGGCATTCTCTCTCAGTGTGGAGTGTGACCCCAACTACTAACTGGATAATTGAGTTTGGAGGAGGTACATCATGCAATGATACAGCAGTTTTTGAACTCAGTAAGTACATGTAGACAGTAGTAGATACAATTTACATGTATATTGAATATGTAATGATAATTGGTTATGATAATATTACAATAAAGTAAGTAATTCTTATG